CCCCCCACCCTACCTCCCGCCCTCACCACCTCCCTCTCTCTCCCCACCCCATCTCCTTCCCTCTCACTGATAAGTTTCAACAGCAAGACTAAGTTAAGACACCTGGTCGGGGGCGTTGACGCGGCAGTGAGCTTGTACTTGAGCTCGAACATCTTATCTACTACATATCTGCTGTCTCCTATCCCAACAAGAACCAGACTCTAAACCCTCCGATGCCACATGGGGAGAGCTGCCGTATGTATTAACATCTGGGGCACAGGCAGGCGGGTTATCTTAGCTCTTAGTCTGAGAGATTCGGATTGAAAGATAAGGCGACCTCACCCGTACCTATTTATGCTAACGTTTCGGTTGTCTTGGTTGGCTGCCCCTTGTCAATGCGTTAACTGCAGTCGATCGAACAGAGTCGGAAATGGCGTGCCATGATCTGCGTGTTGGTCTCAGGCTAAATTATTGTGTTGTTCTTTGTCTCGGTTCCTTTGATGAATGTTTGGCGGGCAGTCTAGCTGTGGGCGTCATGAGTCACTCCCTCGATGATTGATGGAGGGGGATAGGGGGGGGGGCGGTCGAGCATTTGATGGCGTTTTTCGGTCAGGAGGCGCTTTTTCTTCGTCGGGCAAGTTCTTTCTCGGGCTGTGTCTCTGCTACCTTGACAACTAATTTTTTCACTTACAAACCTCCTGCGAATTTTTATCTCGCAAAAAAGACTGGCCCAACGCGGCAGAAGAATCATCAGGGTTCTATTTCACGATTTCCACTAATAATGCAACCAGAAGTCAACCAGTCTAAATAACGATTCTCGGCAATCAAATGATGTTGAACAGACCATCTTCAGGCAAGTTCAAAAAGTCTGTGTCAAGAGAGACAAGGAGGTCATGAATTGAGGCAAATGTTCGCATTCCAGCGGGGTTTATAGACAAAGCGAAAGAAGACTCGCCACTAGCCAGAAGTTTGGCTTCATTCGTCTGAGCTTCGAACTCTCTGACGATGGGATTCTTCTTTACCCTAGTAGCAAGTGCAGATCAAGTGGACAAAATCCAGTATAAATCCGGCATGTTTCCGGAGTTTTGCAGTTTTCTAGCTTCTACGGATCTGCCTAAAAACCTATTTCACCTTTGCGAGTCAAGTGTACGAACACAGCAAAGGCACTCCTATGGGCTCCCCCAATCAGGCCTGATTGCTGAAGTAATCCTGCAACGGATAGAACACTTTGTGTTCACCAAATAGCCGCCAAATTCCTGGGCTTATTATGTAGACAATAACTTTGTCATTGAGCAGCTCAAAGGATTACTGAACTCGGGGGACCCGAATATCCAGTTCACGTTGGAAGGCGAAACAGGCCACCATCTCTCCCTCTGTCTCACGAACACAGTCGTGTCTGTCCTCTATTCAAAAGAGACGAAACGTATTGCAGCACGTTGGCAGATAAAAGAGCTGAAACAATACAACTGCCGAACCTCTTCAGGGCTAATGAATATCCTAACCATTTTATCAAGAAAAGTAGACGCCAGGTGGACATACGACTGTAGATGGAAGAGCAGCCTGAAGCCTTTGGTGAGGGGGGTGCATTCTCTACCATAAAGTCTTCTCTGAAGCGGTTTCTCGGCTGTTACAACCTATCAGGATAGGCCACCGAACTAAAGCAAACATTTGTGGCCATTTACTGCAAACCAAGGACACGCTGCCGCTCACTGAAGCCTCAGCAGTTGTATACAAAATAAGTTGCGACAAAGTGGATAGCAATTTGGGTAAACTGGGCGGAAAATGCACACCCGCTTAGTGGAGCACAAATCGGCAGCTTGGAGGCTAGACACGAACTTTTTGCTGCAAAGTACTTTGGAGAAAATTGCCTAAAGTTCGATCTTTAGGGAGCTACTACCTTGGGTTGTGGCATCTCAAACACGCGACGGCTAACGCTTGAGGTGGCAGTACGTACACGAATCTCTTTACAAGTCGGTCACGCAGAACTCTAAGAAGTCGAACACGCACAACCCGCAGACGAACTCACTCAACGAAGAAAAAGAGCCGCCGGAGCGAACAACACCGACGGGCTCAACCGCCCCCGCCCCAC